TTATAAAATCATTGTCAAATATTCCTAAAATTCAAGCAAACATATCCATGGGTTTCAATTTAAGCAAATAAAGTTCAGAAAATAATCTACGTAATTGAAACATTAATATAACCATAAAACATAAATTATATAAAATAATTCGTGATAACTTAAAACATTCGTAAAATATATTATGGTGACTCATGGTATAATATTACTCACCTTGTTATCGACTCTTAGCCTTTACTTCCCTATTATTGCTCACTAATATATTGCACTTGTTTGAATCTATGTATTTCTTTATTGTTGTTTTCCGAAGCTTTGGCAACTCTCTCTATTTATAAGGGGAAATTCGCACAGTCATGATGAATTTGCCACCACGTGTCACCCAACAACACTTGCCACTTGCTTTATCCCTATTATTACTTATCCAAGGACTTATCTAAATAGGCACATTCACCACCCTATGTGTTAGGGTGGTGACAGACCGTATATATCCATATTTTATTATTATTATTATTAACATTTCATTTTATTAACCATTCCATATATATATATATGTGTGATATTTATTTTAGGGTGTCACATTTTTCCCTTTCTAAATAGAAGTTTGTCCTCAAACTTGACATACCTTGATTTTTGAAAAGGTGCGGGTATTTGGCTCGCATTTGACTTTCTGTTTCCCATGTAGCTTCCTCGACACGATGATTTCGCCATAAACCTTGACAAGAGGTATAGTCTTGTTTCAGAGAATTTTGATCACGATGATCGAGAATCGGCACTAGTTGTTCTTCATAAGAAAGATTTTCTTGAACTTCGAGGTTCTCATAATTGATAATATGTTCTGGATCTCAAAGATATCATCGAAGCATTGAAACGTGAAACACATTGTGAACATTGGACAGTTCTGGTGGAAGAGCAAGACGGTATGCTATAGGGCTAATTCTTTCCAATATTTCAAATGGTTCGACGTAACGCGGATTCAACTTTCCTAGTTTTCCAATTGAATGACTCCCCTTGTTGGTGAGACCTTTAAGAAGACATGCTTTCCTACCTGAAATTCCAAATCTCATCTCCGCGTATCCACATAGCTTTTCTGGCGACTTTGAGCTGTGCGAATTCGTTGTTGGATGAGTTGAATCTTATCACTTGTTATTTGCACGATTTCAGGGCCTAATAGTTTCCTGTCTCCGACTTCTGCCCAACATAGAGGTAGCCGACATCTCCTTCCATACAATGCTTCGTATGGTGCCATACCGATGCTTGCTTGATAGCTGTTGTTATAGGCGAACTCCACTAAATGCAGGTGTTCATCCTAATTACCCTTGAGGTCCAACACGCACATCCGTAGCATGTCTTCTAAGGTTTGGATTGTTCTTTCGGATTGCCCATCAGTTTGCGGGTGATAAGCAGTACTAAACTTCAATGTTGTTCCCAAAGCTTCTTGCAATTTGTTCCAGAAGTGAGATACGAAGCGGGGGTCTCGGTCAAATACGATTAAAACTGGGGTACTATGTAATCGAATGATTTCTTTGATGTATAGGGTGGCGAACTTAGTAAGGGAGTATGTGATCCTGATTGGTAGGAAATGTGCCGACTTCGTTAATCGATCTACTATAACCCATATCGCATCATTCTTTGAAACTGACCGTGGTAACCCGACCACGAAATCCATAGTAATGTGCTCTAATTTCCATTCAGGAATAGGGAGTGGTTGCAGCATCCCTGCAGGTCTCTGATGTTCCGCTTTAACATGTTGACATTGCAAACATTTGGAGACATGGTTTGCTATGTCTTTGGTCATACCTGTCCACCAGTAGTGTTCTCTCAGATTCTGATACATCTTGGTGTTGCTAGGGTGGACTGCAAACCCCGAGTTATGAGCTTCCACTAATAGCTTCTTCTTGAGTTCTGGTACATCGGGTACACAAATTCGATTTCGAAATTTTATCATCCCATTGCTTATAGTGAAGTCAGGATTAGGAGTAGTTTTCTGCTCTTCGTACTTTATCTTCAAAAGTTTACCTTCACATTGGCATGCTTTAATTTCTTCAATCAATGTGGCTTCCACGATTACGTTGACGAGCAATCCATTGATTTTGCAGGGGTCGAGAATACATGCCAGACTTCTGGTAGTCTTTCAACTCAATGCGTCTGCTACTATATTAGCTTTGCCCGGATGGTGATGAATCTCTACATCGTAGTCCTTCATAAATTCCAACCATCGACGTTGCCGCATATTCAGTTCTTTCTACATAAACAGATATTTAAGACTCTTGTGATCTGTGTAAATCTCACAGGTTGTACCGTAGAGGTAATGATGCCAGATCTTGAGGGCGAAGATTATTGCAGCCAACTCTAGATCGTGAGTCAGGTAGTTTTTCTCGTGAGTCTTTAGTTGTCGCGAGGCACATGCAATGACTTTCTCATTTTGCATAAGAACACAACCCAAACCATTGTATGAGGCATAGCTATAAATTACAAATCCATCAGTTCCTGTGGGGAGTGCTAGTATAGGAGCTATCACAAGCCTATTTTTCAACTCCTGGAAGCAACGTTCCTGCTTGTCAGTCCATCCAAAGGGTGCGTTCTTCTAAGTCAGCTGGGTCAAGGGTGATTCTATCTTCAAGAAATCTTGAACGAAGCGTCGGTAATAGCCGGCTAGACCCAAGAAGCTTTGAATTTCGAACATGTTAGTAGGTCGTGGCCAATCCACGATTGCTGCAACTTTTTGGGGGTCAACTGAGATGCCATCTTTGTTGATGACATGGCCGAGGAAGTGTACACTAGTGATCCAAAATTCGCATTTCTTCAACTTGGCATAAAGTTTGCGATCACGTAATGTTTGCAGCACTGTTCATAAATGTCGCTCATGATCCTCTGGTGACTTAGAGTATATGAGAATGTCGTCAATGAAGACGATAACGAACTCATGAAGATATGGTTTGAACACTCGGTTCATGAGGTCCATGAAGGCCGTTGGAGCATTTGTGACGCCAAATGGCATGACAAGAAACTCGTAGTGTCCGTAACGTGTTCTGAAGGCCGTCTTCTCAATGCTTTCTGTTTTGACTTTTAGTTGATGATAGCCGGAACGCAAGTCGATTTTGGAGAATACTTGGGCACCTTGAAGTTGTTCAAACAAGTCGTCGATTCTTGGCAAGGGGTATCGATTCTTGATGGTGACTTTGTTCAGGCCAATCCACGATTGCTGCAACTTTTTGGGGGTCAACTGAGATGCCATCTTTGTTGATGACATGGCCGAGGAAGTGTACACTAGTGATCCAAAATTCGCATTTCTTCAACTTGGCATAAAGTTTGCGATCACATAATTTTTGCAGCACTGTTCATAAATGTCGCTCATGATCCTCTGGTGACTTAGAGTATATGAGAATGTCGTCAATGAAGACGATAACGAACTCATCAAGATATGGTTTGAACACTCGGTTCATGAGGTCCATGAAGGCCGCTGGAGCATTTGTGACGCCAAATGGCATGACAAGAAACTGGTAGTGTCCGTAACGTGTTCTGAAGGCCGTCTTCTCAATGCTTTCCGTTTTGACTTTTAGTTGATGATAGCCGGAACGCAAGTCGATTTTGGAGAATACTTGGGCACCTTGAAGTTGGTCAAACAAGTCGTCGATTCTTGGCAAGGGGTATCGATTCTTGATGGTGACTTTGTTCAGCTCCCGGTAATCGATGCATAACCTCGTCGTGCCATCTTTTTTTTTTATGAACAGTACTGGAGCTCCCCATGGTGAGGTACTTGGTCGAATAAAGCCTTTGTCCAGGAGTTCCTGGAGTTGGGTTTTTAGTTCCTTCAATTCCGCCAATGACATGCGGTAAGGAGTTTTGGAGATCGGTTGTGTATTGGGTTGAGTGTCGATGGTGAATTCGATTTCTCGATCAACCAAGGTACTAGGTAAGTCTTTATGGAAAGCATCAGGAAATTCTCGAATGACCGGTATTGAATCGAGGGTTGCGTCTATTTGTTGAGTGTCAACCACATAACAAATATAACCACCACAACCTTTTCTCAAAAGTCGTTGGGCTATAACAGAGGATATCAAATACAGAGGGGTAAAAACTCCAGTTCCTTCGAAAACCAGCTCGCGTTGGTTGGGTAACCGAAGAAAGATCTTTTTGTTCGTACAGTCAATAGAGGCATGGTTGGCAGCAAGCCAATCCATCCCTAAGATTTTGTCGAAGCTACTAATGCAGAGTGGAGTTAGATCCACGTACAAGGTTTCATCATTTAGGGATATAACACAAGACTTGTTTACCTTTGTACTAAGTGTGGTGACACCAGATGGAAAAGCCACAGATAATGCAGATCCCAATGGTTTAGGTGTTGATGTTAACTTGGAAACAAAGTGTGGTGCCACAAACGAATGAGTGGAACCAGAGTCAAAGAGAACACTAGCTAAGTGACCACAGACAGAAAGTGTACCTGTCATAACGTTCTCCATAGCATTGGAGTTTCCGAGTACTAACGCAAAAGCTCTTCCTTGGCGTCTTTGTTCCTTCTTCCCTCCTGTGGCGGTTTCTGGTTTCTGAGCTAGTTCAGAGGTGCTTATCATAGAGTTGGTGAATTTTGGGCAGTCTTTTATCACATGGCCAACTTGGCTACATTTATAACATGCTCCTATTGCTCGATAGCACTGTCCCCTATGAGCCTTTCCACAACTCAGACAATTCGGATTGGTGCTTGTCACGACCCAAACCTGGCCCTATGGGTTTAGTACTGTAACCGGCCAGTAATCCGAGATTACCGAAGGCCTGCAGAACAGTAATACAGTAAAATAGAGTACAGGGCCTGGCGGAAGCCAATACAGTAATTAAACAATGTCCAATGAGCTGCGACAGTCTGTATGCCAAATAGATTTTTCATACATTCATACGTAAACAGTACAGAACAGTATGCACAATATTTACAATCATTCCAACTAGGGACTCAACCCTACAAACAGTACAGAAAACATTCAGTCTATACAGAACAGTTAGACAGTACAGAAGGGGATTTACTTTCTTTGGTGGGGCTGCCCTTGATGCTCCAATTGCTTCCCAAAACCGCCTTTTTGACCCATTCCACTGGAACGTGCGGTTTTAATTCCTTTTTCTGCGATATATGCTCGATCCACCACCTCTGCATAGGTTGGTAGTTTCAGAACCTCGAGCCTATCTTTGATCTCCGCTTCTAACCCTGCTTCGAATTTCCTTACTTTTTGGGCTTCTGTTGGAATAACATACGGTGCAAATCGTGTTAGTTGTGTGAACTTACTTTCGTACTCCGTTACCGACATTGTTCCTTGCCTCAAATGTAGGAACTCGGATGCTTTCTGCTCCCGTAGTGATTCTGGAAAATACTTTTCATAGAACACCTCTAGGAATTTCGCCCAAGTCACGGCCTCTTCTTTTTCTAAGGTGAGAAGCCACCATTCCTGCGCATCTTCCTTGAAGGTGAAAGTGGCGAAGGATACTTTCTGTTCTTCTGTGCAGAGTAGGGCACGAAAAATCTTCTCCATTTCTTTAACCCAAGCTTCAGCTATCAATGGATATGAACCTCCTGTGAACGTGGAAGGATTCAGGTCTTGGAATTGTTTAATCGTAGTTGTCCCTTCTCGATGTTTTGGTGACCCATTGTTCTACAAGGCTTGCAAGAAACTGATAATAGCTCTCTCCACAATCCGTTCCATTGGATCGGCTCCATTGGATGATGACCCGATACCATTTCCATCGTTAGCCATAACTATAAAACAATTTTAATAAACGTGGTGCATGATTTCTATCAATTACCTAAATTAAAACATATTCACATAATCTACAAAACATAGATAATATATACATTATTCACAAAACACCGGTTTTATTTATGTATAATGGTGTTAGTACATTACTTGTAGTTATGTCAATTTTAGTGCCTAACCCTCCGTGACAAAATGGGTTAGAACTAGATCTTGGTCAGCTTGTTTAGACACCAAACAAAAGAAAAACAAAAAATAGCAAAAGAAAGGATTTTGTTATCAGGATCTTAGGTTGAAAACAACCATGGGTACTGCAGCTGCATGTGATGCTCAAACTCCCATCCATTTTGCTCTATGCCAAAACATCGCCATGCCACCTCCACTTGGTATATGGGGATGCCTACCTCGTAACCCCACAGTTGTCGTCCTATGATACGCACAGGTACCTCCACATATGTCGTAATGTCACCAAAGTCGATCGCCTGAGTATCAATTAGGTTTTGAGGGGAAGAGACTCTTGCTTGAATGTGATCACTTAAGAAGGCATATCATCGCTGAGTCATAAACTCTGAAGGTAAAGGTGCCGCTAAATAACGAGGATATTCGTGACTAGGGGCCATGCCTACTACCCGTGTAGGTCCTAAAAACCTGTCTAAGGTACTCATAGCGTCAACCCTGCACCACTATGTGTCTACTGCTGTGGGGACAGCCCTTAAGTATACTGGCCAGCCCATAAGTCGGTTGAGGATCGGGTCTGTCTACCTAACTATTGCTTCAGAGTCTCCTATTTCCTCTGGTAAGTTTGGAATGTAATGGTTATTTTCAAAAATTCCTTCAACGTTCGGGGGATCAGGTCCATACCAAAAAGAGTCGCCAAAGTTAAGTTCCGAGATTACCTGCACAACAGGATACCTAACTTAGCTATAGAACTAAGAAAAGACTTATTACTATAAGGACTGAGGTAAGACCATAAGGACTAAGGTAAGATTTTTTTATTATTATTTATTTGTTTTAAACCATTGCTCTGATACCACTTTTGTCACGACCCATCCCGATGACCAAGGCTGGATCGCGACTAGCTATCCTAAAATCCCACACAGTAATTCCAAGTAATTAATTTGAATAATGCAGTGAAATAAAATTAAAGGGGTAGATTGATATCCAAAGCGTACATGAAAATTTTTATTTATGATATAACATTAGTTGGATGATGACTACAAGAAAAAAAAACATGATATCTATATCAAATTTGAAGTTTTGATCCACAGGGTAAAAACCATCCTTCTTTAAATTTCTTCACCTGAAAAGGTTTTTAACAGCTATAAGCACATGACAGAGTGAGAAATATTATACTGAGAGCATGAGGGTATAAAATCACCATGGATAATTATTTAGGTTAAATGATAAATAATTTGGTTTGAATAAATTTTTTTCATAACAGACATAAAACACGAAATTATAGAAAATAATTATAACCACGGTACAGAACAGATCAGAGGGTCAATGGATCTTGTAGACGTGCTCGAACGTCACGACTCCGTGCGCGAATGGGCGCGAAATCCATTTTGTTCTTAGGCTACTACAGTTCGGACTCAATGTCACGGTTCTGAATCTAATCTCGCAAAGTGCAATGCAAGACCGATAAATCACCAAAGAGTCCAAATCCGGCAAATCGTTTTGGAAAACTGATTTTATAAAGAAGTGCCAAACATGGACTGCTTTTCCAGATACAGAGTCGCCACCTAAATATTTTATTTTGGGAAATTTAGGAAATCCTGATTCGTGCCTAAGGCCACGTGTCCGTCATCACCAAAGTTGCATCGGCTCGGGAACTTGGGTACGAGAGGGGAAGGTCATGCAATGAGCACCCCCGCTCGCCCGATCAAAGGATCGGCCTTCACTAACATGATATATTGTTTTTGAAAACACATGCGTTCTTATTCCGGTTATTAGCCTAGAATTACTATGTGATGCGCACAACACATAAGTATAGACTAGATCGCCTAAGTTGGAACAAACATCTCATGTTTGTTTAAAAATGGTTTGAAAGTGCTATTCGCAAGTAGGCTAAGACGTGGATTTGCCACCCTCGAGTGGGCTTAAGAAAACATGATTTTGCCACCTCAAGTGGGCTTAAAACTCGCATTTCGATGAATTGTTCCAACTCAAGTAATCCAACCTTCACCCACAAGCATTCAGGCAGTTATATCATTTAAGCAATTAGCCTCATGGCAAGCATGCTATCATGGCAACACTAAGACACATGCAGTATGCTAAAGCGTAAAAGCTTACCTAGCACTCCAAGCCAAAACAATAGCTAGTTAGTAATCAATGCATGATCCTAGTTTATGTTAAGATGGCTAATGCAACACATGCAAAATGCAACTAGAAATAGGCTCGGCTATTCTAAGATGGCATATGAAATGCAGCTTGATAATCATGTATTCAAGTAGGAATTGAAATACAATACAGTTAGTATGATACGTCGAGCCCGGTGCATGCAGTACAAATGAATGGATGCAAACATACGAGCATAGGATTACTAATTCAAACATGACCTAGAACTAACCATCGTAAGCGGTTAAGTAAAAGGGAGAAAGACGTGGGATTGGAAGACATTCACACACTCACGCACACTTATTACAAAATTCGCCCTCCCGACGGAGGGTCCAAATAACTAATACAAACCAACTAATTAACTAACTACCCAAATTAATTAAATATTACAAAACTCTTAACTAATTAAACAAATTAATTAAGCTACATAATCAGCTAAGCAAGAAAAAAGAGAAGTTGAATTGAGCTGCCACATGTGGACGCGCCCGAACGTCCCGGGAAAAATCCCATTTTGTTCATTTTGGGTTTACCACAGTTCGGACTCAAATGTCACGGTTCTGAATCTAATCTCACAATGTGTGATGTGAGACCGATAAATCACCAAAGAGTCCAAATTCGACAAATCATTTTGAAAAACTGATTTTTAATAAAGAAGTACCAAACATGGACTGCTTTACTAGATACAGAGTCGCCACCTAAATATTTTATTTTGGGAGAATTTAGGAAACCTTGACTCGTGCCTAAGGCACGTGTTCGTCATCACCAAAGTTGCCTCGGCTCGAGAATTTGGGTACGAGAGGGGAAGGTCATGCAATGAGCACCCCCGCTCGCCCGATGAAAGATCGGCCTGTACTAAGCATGATATCTTGTTTTTGAAAACACATGTGCTCTTATTCCGATTAATTAGCTAGTCTTACTACGTGATGCGCACAGCAAACAAGTATAGACTAGATCGCCTATTTTGGAATGAAGCATCGTATATCCGTTTGTTTGGAAAATGGTTTGAAGTTTGCTACTCGCAAGTAGGCTAAAATGCGGATTTCAATGAATTGTTCCAATTCAAGTAATCCAACCTTCACCCACAGGCATTTAGGCAGTTAATCACATAAGCAGTTAGCCTCATGGAAAGCATGCTAACATGGCAACATTAACACACATGCAGTATTCTAAAGCGTAAACACTCATAGTGTACTCCGAGCCAAAACAAAGAACTAGTTAGAAATCATGCATGATCCTATTTCATGTTAAGATGTCTAATGCAACGCATGCGAATATGTATCTAAGATAGGCTCGGCTACCTAGAATGTCATGTGAAATGCAACTTGGTACATGTATTCAAATTGGAATTGAAATACAATGCAGTTAGTATGATGCGCCGAGCCCAGTGCATGCAATACAGATGAATGGATGCACGCATGCGAGCATAAGGTATGCTAAATGAAATATGCCCTAAAACTAACCATCGTAAGCGGTTAATCGGTTAAGTAAAGGGGAGAAAGAAATGGAGGTTGGAAGACATGCATCACACACACGCACGCTTATTACAACAATGTGCCCTCTCGAGGGAGGGACCAAATAAGAAGCTAACTAGCTAATCTAAGCTAATTAAACTAATTATTACACAACAAATTAATTAACTAATCCTAGTTAACTAATTATTACAAAACGAATTGAATAGCTAACGCATTAACTAATTAAAGTACAAACCAAAGCAAAAGCTAGCTATCTAATCATGACAGCTAAGGAAAGCAGTAAATCAGGAGTCTTAGAGGGAGAGGAATGCATGCAAGCCCAGTCGCCTCGTTCGGAAATCTAATGCCTCGACTTGCCTCTGTTTTCATCTATCCTCAGAACTCTGCACCAAGCTCCAGAAAGATGAAACTCTACCTAGGGAAACCTGTGGGAGGGTGGCCAACCACATTTGGTCTCTCCAGACACCTGCCGACCACTTTTGGTTGTTGAAAAACTAGAAAAGTGGTCGGCCAGCTAGTTTTTCTGGCTGGCCGGCCAGTTGTTGCTGCTGAACTGCAATTTGCTGCAACAGAGAGCAAGAAAGGGTATGGCAATGTATTTGAAAGATATGTATGCACAACTACCCTCTCTATCATGTGATGAACTCAAGGGGGTGTGGTTCTCGACCCTCGGGCCACCAATCGTGCATTTCAATGCATGATGGCTGAGAGGCGAAGTTGCACAATTCAATATGAAAATGAATGCACAAGTAAACACATAAGGCCTAGAACTCTATCATGTATGATCAAGAGCGTTGGCGACCGGGAATTAAGGCACGTTTCATCACTTTAAGTATGAAACGTCATTCGTTTCCCGTGTTTGGACTAACACTTATTCCAAACACAATGCAACACATAACATGGCATGCACAATGTGACTTAAGCATGCAAACATGCAACTACATGGCATACTCAATGTAATGTGATATGATTAACTTAACAAAGCTAATGATAACAATGCTAACACATGCATACACAATGCAATCCTAAAAGGACAAATTAGCAATGTTAGGGCCATGCACAATGCAATGAAACATAAGCATACACAATGTGATGAACTACATGGCATACTCAATGCAAGACAATCATAAGGTCCTGAACACCATGTAATGCATGAATGCACAATGTAACGCAATAAGGGCAACAATATGCAAT